AGTACCTGTTAATTGTCAATAAAATGATATGGTATAAGTTAGTGAAGTTCTTCCCACTCATTTCATAATGCAGAGCAGTTTGCCTAGTGAGCATTGCAAAACACTATAAACTTGCAGTTAGGTTCTACCTATGTCACATGCAAATTATTTTATATTGTGTAGGTCATTTAAACTCCCTGGGACTCAGTTTCTTTATATGTTAAAAAATGGAAGACCTAGATGAATGATAACACCTAGGGGTATGGCTGAGGAATTTTCACCCTAATTTTTAAGACATCCCTAGTAATCCTAGAACACTAGTTCTACTACTTCCTACTTTATCAAGAGGACTTAAATAAAAGTTTGGTATTGCCACTGTGCCAGTCTAGAATGAACTCCCAGATTATTTGAAGCTCTGCATTCTCTATACATGTATTATTTTTGCATGGATAGGTTACATACTTAGATGCATTAACTCCTGGAAACCATAATTAGATAATCATAAAATGAAATCTGACTATACATATACTATCATCATTGCCAGCCATGAATTCACTGACAAAACGTAATGAATGAACAGGCACACTGATGAGAAATGAACTGGAGATTCTTACTAGACAATGTCTTAAGAGTGAGAAAATGAATTATAAAGCAGTTAGAAGTGGGGAATGCCTATATTGCCAAGGAATCTAAAGTTATTGCCCCTGTCTCTTGTTCTTTAACACTATAACAAATTGTTCAGTAAGTCTTCCACGTATTCAGAAAAATATTTGACCCAAATACTTAAATGCTTGCTTCCTAAAGGAGAAGTCTATATATGCAACATTGCAGGATATCTTTTTAATTCAACAAAGTTTGAGAAATATGCCTGTTGGAAGTCCCTTAAGTACCTGCCTGAAAAATACAACTTGCAGAGTTTTTTAAAACTCCTTAAACCTAATCAAACTCACTGCTGTCTAGTTGTATCTATCTGACTCATAGCAACGCCTCCTTGGGTTTCCGAGGCGATATTACTACAGAAGTAGATTGCCCAATCTTCCTTCCAAGGAGTGGCTGGTGGGTACCATTTCCTAAAGGTCTTGTGCTCATGAAAAAGTGAAAGTTTCTAAGACATTAAGCATAAAAGAGTAAGTATGAAACAAAGAGAGTCAAATGAATATGAAGTAATGGTATTATTTATAATACCAATTTCTCCTAGTGAATTATTGATCCAACACTGAATATTTATTGATGTTAATTTTTTTTCTTTCTTACTCTTGACTAGTATGAATTCCCTACTCTAGAATGAATGCATACATTTCTATGAGAACACATTGACAGCCACAGTTAACATACTCTTCTCAATTTATTTTCCACATCAAATTGGTATTCCAAGGTTCTGTTATTTTATTTACTTAAAAGATCATGTGCTTAAATCTGCAAAAGATAGCAAAAAATTGCCTTTATAACAAACCAACTAAATATGAGTTTTCATTCTCTTCATGTTTAATATTCATGAAGCTAGAAATAAAGAGTATCTCTAACTAAATCGTAACCTCAGAAAGAAATAAAATCTGTATCTTTCCTTCCTTTAGTTTCTACTTACCTAAACAGACTTTTAGTAAATTATCTTAGATGTTCCCTCAAATTAATATTAGATTTCTTTTGGGGAAAAAAAAAAGTTTTTATGATGATTGGTCTCTAAAGGTATTTAAAACACTGAAAATTCAAAAGAAACAATGAATAGGAAATGTTCCAACACAATGTTAAATAAAAAATTAGACTACAAAACAGTATGGACATTGTGATCTTAATCTGAGTTTTTTAAATATGAAAAAACAACAAAAAGACATATCTTACTTCTCTAATTATGGATTACTTCCATTACTTTACCTTTTGTTTGTTTAATACAAAGAACCTGCATAACTTTTATATAACCAGGAAAACTTTTCATATTAATACCATCACTTATGTAGGTAATAAATGAGTTGAATCGACTCAACGGCAGTGAGTTTGTTTTTTCTTTTTTTTAACTCTTATGAAAGTATTTTTATGAAATTATCATACTGCACATAATTAATCAGTCCAACTCCAAAGAAAATAAAGTCTGAAGGTTTCAACTTTCGCAGAAGATAGAGAAGTTGTTTTCCTGTTACAAGCACTCTCTCTACTGGTGACAGAGAGAATATACTTATTCTCACATTTCGGAAGTAATTGCTGATTTTCCACAAGCACTAGAGGGCAAATTTTCACTATGAAACTTTGAATTTCGCCAACTTTCATTACATTTATAACATGCCTTCTTTGGGGCTGTAGTATCTGTTAATATGTGACAATTTTTAGATTACAGTTTGACTGCCATGAAATAGCTGATTTATCATATACAAAATCAACTTACCCCTAGTTAACATAATTAAAGGAAATTAAAACTATGTATTTACATATTTAACCTATACTTTTATGGCTGTATTAACAAATTTATAATTTAAGTTTCTGATCTGACACTATCTCATATTAAACCTGAATGACTAATTACTACACTGAAAAATGAGGTCCTCACCACTGGATCTGTTCTAATGCCTAAAAGAAAAATAGTTAAAATGCCCTCAGTTTGAAATGCAGATCTTTAAGAAAATATTGAAATATTTTTCTCTAACCCAAAAAGCTTCTAACATTTATAAGGCTTTTGAATTCCAGTGGTGGTAGAAAAGCAGCTTAGCAGGAAGATGCCATGCCAAGAAGACAGAAGAGCAACAGTAAAGTCACGACATCTCAAAGTACATCATTTGCATGTGGTTACCGTGTAGGGTACACTGCAATAGCTAAAGGTGAAGTTGAAAAAGTAGGGTGGGGTCATCTGGGGAAGGATTTGCTATGCTATAATACTTACGAGTTGGACTTTACTTTGAAGGCAGTGGGAAAGCCACTGAAGACTTTTAACAAGGGAGAGCTGTAACTTATCTATTTTTAGAAAGATAGTAGAATGCAGGGCAAGTTAGAAGAGTGACAGCTAGGAGGACAGGATATCAAGGTGTCAAATACACTGGCTAAGGCCTTAATTAGGACAAAATCAACGTAAAGAAGCTGTCTTCCAAAGACATTTCAAGAGGCAGGATTGATTGGATTTGGTGATGGAATAAATTCAGTGAGAAGGGTTACAACCCTTGATAAGTTGGTGAATGCTGCTATCTTTACAATTAAGATTAAAGTTTTAATCATTCTAAGTGCAAGGTGCCTTTTGAAATCCAGTTAGCTAGATACACTGTTGTTACGTGATGTCGAGTCAGCCGTCGAGTCAGCCCCAACTCATAGAGACCCCTCCTTGGGTTTCCGAGGCAGTATCACTACAGAAGTAGGATTGCCCAACCTTCCTTCTGAGGAGTGGCTGGTAGGTTTGAACCACCAGCCTTCTGGTTAGCAGTCAAGTGTGTTAGGCACTATGCTACCAGAGCTCCAGCTAGATACCCTAGGTAGCTAGAAATGTAAGGCAGGAGTTCAGGGGAGAGGCAGAATATAAATAAATGAAATTCAGAAAAAAATAATTCTTCTTTTTAAAAAACTTCTGAAATGAATCTCATTATATTAGACTTACACGCCTTGTTTAAGTAATTGATGTTAACAGGCAAGAAAAGAATGCATATTTGAATAGAATGCTGTATCACTTAGCAAAATAAACTTTCTGATGAATTATATTCATGTAAACTACGGGATGTTAATTCCACTGTTAAGTCTAACTCTTAATCAATTTAGATTATTAATTAAGCATCATCCCTGTTACACACAAAGAATACATTTATTAGCAAGCATACAACATATATTTCATGTATACACTTTTTTAAAGTCTTTTTTTTCCCCCAAAGTCTTATATATAGTTAAGACTTTAAAAAAGAATATACGTGTTTCCTTTGAAGTGATGTCAACAAATTTTAAAGATATAATAAGGCAAAATATATGGGAGTTTATTAATAACGAAAACCAGTGATCCCAGTCATTATTTGTAACTATCATTAGTATAGGAACTCTGGCGGCATTGCAGTAAAGCATTCATCTGCTAACCAAAAGGTCAGTTGTTCAAACCCACTGGCTGTTTCATGGGAGAAAGATAAGGCAGTCTGCTTTTGTAAAGATTTGTACCTTTGGAAACCCTTTTAGGGGTGTTATAAGTTGGAATCGACTTAATGGCAGTGCGTTTTTTTTTTTTTATATATATATATAATTGGTATAAATTCACATTTATAGAATCTCTCAAATAGATTTTTCTATTTAATCTCTAAAACGTATCCATGAGGTGGGCTAGAGGTGGCAGTAGTAACAATAGTAACAACTATAATAAATATCTTTAACAGAATTTTCTAATCTCTCCACCCACTCACACAACCACCAACTGGTACGCTAAAGATATGAGAAGTTCTTATTCAGTAGTTTGTATTTAAAATCTAAGTTTTCTTGGCATAAATAAACTCTACCTATTGAATTTTCAAACACTACCAACTGAATTTTCTCAAAGTCCTTGAGAGAGGAAACACAGAACAAAGAAATTTAGTATTGTTATTCTATGAAAAGCATGTAATCTACTCCACACATTAATTGGGTAGTATAAATCCATACTAATTACCACACAAAGTAAATCCTGAAAAAAAATCCAAACCAATTATTAAGTCATTTTAAGCCTCATCATTGATGCATGCATGAATCTAGTAAAACTTTCCAATTGTTGACATTAACTTTGCCTTCACAAACATGTTTTGAATGAAATTACACCCCCTAAGGACAAAGTCAGCAAAATTTAAGTTCCTACATCCTTTCTTATATTCCATTTTATTAAAAAGGCAATGTATTATCTACATATGGAGTTTAAAATATTCGTATCCACTTTTCTAAAGGTTGAGACCACAAGCTGAAAACATTGTCATTTATGTTTCAGACTAATGACTAGTACCTCAACATCTTATTTCGTAAAGCAGGGGCTTTTCTATTTATTTTAGTATTTTTTAACAGAGTTGGAATGGGTTAAACAAAGAAACAGAGACAAGAATACTTACTTGAATCTGGCAGGTGAAAGGGGAGTAGGAGGAAACATTCCTGGTTCAAAAGAATCAAAGTAAGTCACTGTCCAAGAAAAGCTGCAACAGGAGAATCCTGCAGTTAGGGATATTATAAGCAGACTCCAGAATCCTTAATGCGAAAAGAAAGAGGAAAAGTTCAATTGTTAACACCAAAACAATTTAAATTAAATCAGTATGTTAATGCTCAGAAGATCACTGTATTTCTGATCTTCTGAGTTACATGGAACTGATGTTATAATGAGAGACTTACGTTTAGTTCAAACTAAGTCACACTGAAATATAAGTAGAAGTGATATCATTTTACATTTTAATATGTGAAAAACAGTAAAAGCTCATCTTACAGACATAGCTCTCATCTTAAATTTTGTAAAATTCAGCTATAGAAAACACTGTTTATTAAACATTTTCCATTTCACTTCATTAATTATGACTTACCATCTTCCATTATTTGGTGCTAAGTGATTCATTTCACTTTCGACATATGAATTAACTGACATATGAATCCTATTTGTAGCTTTCTTATAAACATTATAAACCTATGCTAATTCTTTAATGCTGCTCAGTATACAAACAAAAGTTAACATCCAATTTACAAATGCATTAGGATCCTAGATTTTATTTGCAGCCAATCTGGAACTGCATTTTCCCATAATAATCAACTCAAAAGCATGATACTATACTGGATTCAAGCAAAGGTGAAAAGGTTAAGAAGTGGAAGGATGGAAGAATAAACAAAATGATAAGTGTTGCTGTTAGGTGTCACTGAGTTGATTCAGACTCATAATAACCCCATGTGACAGAGCAGAACTATCACCTAGGATTTTCTAAGCTGTAATCTTTTTAGGAGCAGATTGCCAGGTCTTTCTCCTGTGGAGCCACTAGATGGTTGGAAGTGACAACCTTTCAGTTAGCAGCCAAGTGGGTAATCACTGTACCACCAGGGCACCTTCAAGATGCCAATACAAAAGAAGAAATCATTTTGAGTATTTTAAGATGCTATTCATTCATCAAATAATGAGTTTTATTTGTATCCTCTTAAGGATATAAAAAGGATGACTTATTCTAATGATTCTAACTCCAAGATTATAAATGATTACTGTAAGACGGATAATACTGATAAATAAGTGGCCAACTCCATTAAATTCAGTAAGGAGTATAATTCTATTTTGATGTCAAATTTTCAAAATGCTTTCATAAATTATTTAATCATTCGACAAAATATATTGGGGAGCTACTTTGTGTCTGCAACTATTTTAGGTGTTTGTAATAAAGTGGTGAACAAAACAGACAAGAACATTGTCTTCATGGAATAATTCTGATGGGCCAGAAAGATAATTAACATTCAAACTAAATGAAATAACTATAGATTGTGATAATGATTTTGAATAAACAAGATGCTACCTTATAGAAAGATATATTATCAGAAAATGTAAATTTTATGAAATGTCTCATTCCAGTGCTTCTGCCCTCTCTGTTCCTTCTCCCTGGAATGTGTTCTTCCTTAGCAGAGGAAACAGGACAAAGCCATAAAATGAGAAACTACTTGGTATGCTCAAGGAACAGAAAGGAGACCAGTGCAGGCAGAGGATGAGAAGGCAAAGAGAAGAAGAAAATGAAGTTGGAGAGTAAATAGGTAGGCAGGCTCCCAACCATGCAGGACCTTATATATTGAGAGGTTTTATTTTACTTCCAAGAGTAACAGGATATTACTGAATTGAGGGAGTGACATAAATGTGTTTGCTTATAAAAGATTCATGTTTATTATGCCGGATTGGGGAGAATTAAACTGGAAACATAGTAAAAATTATGATGCTTGGGGAAAATTATTGTTGCTGCTGTTGTTATGTGCTGTTGAGTCATCTCTGACTCACAGTGACCCCTCCTGGGGTTTCCAAGGCGGTCTCTCTATGGAAGTAGATAGCCCAATCTTTCTTCTGAGGAGTGACTGGTAGGTTTGAACCGCCAACCTTCTGGTTAGCAATCAAGTGCCTTAGGCACTGTGCCACCAGAGCTATACAGAAATCAAAAGCTTCCATATATATGCAGAAAGCATCAAAAGATGGAAGGAATACACAGAATCACTCTATCAAAAAGAACTGGCCAATGTTCAATTGTTTTAGGAGGTAGCATATGATCAAGAACCAATAGTACTGAAAGAAAAAGTCTTAAGCTGCACTGAAGAAACTGGAAGAAGAAACTGGAAAAAGAATCAAGACTCCAGGAATTGATGAAATACCCATTAAGATGTCTCAACAAACAGATGCAGCACTGGAGGTGCTTACTTGTTTATGCCAAGAAGTTTGGAAGAGCTACCTGGCTGACTGGAAGAGATCACTATTTGTGGCCATTCCAAAGACAGATGATCCAATAGAATGTGGAAATTATCGAACAATGTCATTAATATCAAAAACAGTTGCAGCTGTATACTGACACAACTGCCAGAAATTCAAGCTGGATTCAGAAGAGGATGTGGGTCGAGGGATGTAACTGTTCATGTCAGATGGATCTTGGCTGAAAGCAAAGAATACCACAAAGATGTTCACCAATATTTTATTGACTATGAAAAGGCATTTGACTGTGAATCCTAACAAATTATGGATAACATTGCAGAGAACTCCGGAATTCCTACACACTTAATTATGCTCATGAGGAACCTGTAGATAGACCAAGAGGCTGTCATTCTAAAATAAGGGGATACTGTATGGTTTAAAATCAAGAAGGGTGTGCATCAGGGTTGTATCATTTCACCATACTTATTCAATCTGTATGCTGAGTAAATAATCTGAGAAGCTGGACTATATGAAGAAGAATGTGGCATCAGGATTGGTGGAAGACTCATTAACCACCTGCAATATGCAGATGACATCATCTTTTTTGCTGAAAGTGACGGTGACTTGAAGTACTTACTGATGAAGATTAAAGACTAGTCTTCAGAATGGATTACACCTCAACATGAAAAAAATAAAAATCCTTACAATCAGACCAATAAGCAACATCACAATAAAAAGAGAAAAGAATGAAGTTGTCAGCGATTTCTTTTTACTTGGATCCACAATAAATACCCATGGAAGCAGTAGTCAAGAAATCAAATGTCATATTGCACTGGACAAATCTGCTACAAAAGACTTCTAGACTTCTTTAAACTGTTAAAGACTAAAGTGCGCCTAACCCAAGCCATCATATTTTCAATAGCCTCATATGCATGTGAAAACTAGACAATGAATAAGGAAAAATGAAGGGGTTTTTGAGTTGTGGTGTTGGTGAAGAATACTGAAAACACCATGGACTGCTAGAAGAACGAATGTCCAACCGCAATATCCTAGGAAGGGAGAATGGCCAAACTTTGTCTCACCTATGTTGGTCATGTTGTAAGAAGGAATCATTCCCTAGAGAAGGATAGCATGCTTGGCAAAGAAGAAAACCAACCAACCAAACCTACTGCCATTGAGTCATTTCACACTCATAGCGACCCTCATTGCGTTTCTGAGGCAATAATCTTTATGGAAGTAGATTGCCTGGTCTTCCTTCCGAGTGACAGGTGGGTTTGAACCAGCAACCTTCTGGTTAGCAGTCAGATGCCTTAGGCACTGTGCCACCAGAGCTCCTTTGGTAAAGCAGAGGGTCAGCAAAAAAGGGGAAGATCCTCAATGACATGGACTGATACAGTGGCTGCAACAATGGGCTCAAGCATGTGTGAGGATGGCACAGGATCAGGCAGTGTTTTGTTCTGTTGTACATGGGGTCACTACGAGTTGGAGCTGACTAGAAGGCACCAAACACATCATGGAGTTAAGGACCTCTGGTGGTATAGTAAAGCACTAACCAAAAGGTCACTGATTTAAACCCACTAGCTGCTCCACAGAAGAAAGATGTTCCGTTAACAATTTACAGCCTTGGAAATCCTATAGAACAGTTCACTCTGTTCTAAAGGGTAGTGAGTGGCTATGAGTCAGAAATCAACTTGATGGCAGCATTTTTTTTATACTATGAAATACTATTCTGGTGTGTATTAAATAAATAAATAAAAAGTTCTCTATGTACTAATATAGAAAGGTCTCTCTCCAAGATACACCAGTGAACCAAATAATTAGTCAGAACAGTAATATAGACCTATAGTAAAAAGGGGAAAATAAATGTGCATTTATTATGTATATGTAAGCAAAAATGAATATATGTTGTTGTTAGCTGTTGAGTTCATTCTGACTCATGGTGATCCCATATGTGCAGAGGAGAACTATTCCATAGGGTTTTCAAGTCTGCAAACTTTTAGAAATAGATTTCCTGTCTTCCAAGTACCTCTGGATGGGTTTGAACTGCCAATCGCCACCTAGGCACTCTTGTATACACACACACACACCACACGCACAACATATTAACATATAACATATTAATAAAACTTCTCTGGAAGGATACATACTAATTACACAATATTGCTTCCTTATGCGGAGAGGCAGAGTGGCTGGTGTCACTGGCTTGAAGAAATCTTTTCAATGTATACTCTTCTATACTTCTTGCATTTTGAACCCTATGCCTGTTCTATCTAGCAAAAAAATTAGAGTGAAAAAACATTTCCAGTGAGTCATTTTTGAAAGGAGGAGGGGCATGGAAGTTATTATCCACTCTTTGCGGAAGCATATTAAAACTACTTCCTTAAGACAGGTTTACTAAAGACACTACTACTGATGAGCATGTTATCTCATGCTTTAGGAATAAAGATTGAGAACACCAGAGAATAATTTCTAAATTATAAAATTTTGTGGCTGCACAAAATGAGATGCCTTTAGTAAAGAGGTAAGAAATGAGTATTGGACTGTGTGTAAACCATCAGAAGTACATCAATAGACTGATAAAACTGCTAAAGTATAAAGTGAGAGCAATTGCAATTAAGCATTAAGAAAACTATGGCAAGGTATTTTGAAAGATCAACTTTTTTCTCCTCATAGTTCGCTTTCCCTTCCTCCCCCCTAAGATATAGTGGGCTCTGTGGTCACTGCTCAAGAAGTAGGATGTGGCAAAGCACAAAGAAGAAACAGGTCAACGTCAGCTGTGGTACAAAAAAAATTAGGGGAACTACGTAGACTGGCAAGAGGAGGAGTGTAAATATAGGTA